CACTAACCTTGCTCGAGGCGACTTCTGGCATGGAGGACAGGAAGGCGGGTGGGGAGGAGGCTATTATTTGGAGGGAGAGTCCCCCTCCCTACAGGAAGCCATGACCACGTGTCACGGGAGGGAAAATGGCCGCGGATCATGTTCGTCACCTGATGCAGAGTTCGCAAAGGGAAGCAAAATTTTGCGAACGGTGCTGTTCATGACCCGAATTGTTCGTGAACAGAAGCGTTCGTGACCCGAGGTACCACTGTATACTCAAAAGAGATCAGGAGGGTCTTAGAGAGAGGGGCCATCTGAAAATAAATTTCTAGTTTGTGGAAAATAGCCATGTTGATTTGCAAGCTACCCAGAAAGTAAATGGCCAACCTTGCCATTTGAAAACTTTTTGCCAAACACACCAATAGTTTAATCACATTAGTACATACAGGGGTAATTTTTTGAGCTGCTCTTCCACACTTTCAGATTTATAATCAATTACATCATCTGCTCCAAGATGTTTTACCAATTCACTGGCATCCTGGGAACAAACTGCGGTGACATGACCACTCCAAGCTTTCATTAACTAAAAGAGAAGACAAAAAAAGGAAAAGAAAAGAAATCTACAATCACATACACAGTAACCACTCAGACTCACTTGCTATGAATGCCACACAACTTCCCTGAACCTAACTCAAGTTTGCATCAATGGGTGTTTCATCTTGGAAACACTATGGAGCTATTTGGCAGCTCGCATTTTCCATAGCCCTCCATCCCTAACATCTCACCCACCATACATCAGAATGCCAGGGGGGAAGGCTAACTCTTTAGTTGTCCTTTCTGGATCTTTTCCAGCTTGCAATCTCATTTTGAAATGGGGTGTCCCAAACCAAAGAGCCTTACAAATGCAACAGCATTGTTGTCTCTTGAACTCTTTTTTTCCTGCTCCAATAGAAGTTTTTGACTGCCTTCCAAAACTGTAAGTGGCAGCTATTCAAGTTTTATACCTGCATGCTTTAAATGATCTTTAAAAATATTAACTCCTAAAAAGAGTCTTATTCTGCATCACTTTAAATTACGTTTCATTTTACACTAATAATTGTCTTGTTCTACAGCAATTTCCCATGATGGAATGACAGCGGGGGTTCACAGAACTCACTTAACCTGAATTAACAAATGTTCAGAGTTCATGTAATACATTGTCAAAGTTTTTCTATGAATCTCTATAGGTTATAATGCAAACACTAATATTTGTTTGATTACAGAAATTGAATGCTCTAAGTGAACAGTATTATTTATTGTAGCCAATATTATAAATATGAAAATAAAATAATATATTTATACAATATAAGTGAGACATTGCAAAAGACTGTATTCTAGGATTCTTTCAAGAAACCAGGAAAAGTTCAGCCAAGATAATAAGATTTAACATATTTACCTGTATAGCAAAGGTACCCACTCCACCTGATGCACCTATGATCAATATTCTATAAAGCAAAAACAATTACAGTGATCAAGAGGATTAAACTGATAAAATGCCTATTGTGCAACTGTATTTAAGTAATTCAATTTATACAGCACAAAGTTAAGAAACTATAAATTAAAATGAACTTAAGTTTCAGGTAACCTTAGATTTAAAGTAACGTAAGTTTAAGGCACAAGACAGTAATATTTAAATGCTATTGTGTAATGCAATAAAGCATTGACATAGTAGAAATGTTATGAGAATAAAATACGTAAATTGGTTACACCTGGTTGATGGTGGCATACAGGATAAAAATCTATCAAGAATGTTGAAAAAATCATACTGATGAAGAATGGATTTTTAAATTTATCTGTGGCATATTCCTGTGCCTGATATAAGATATTTAAATTAGTTACATTCAATAAAAGTATTATTTCACAAAAGCTAAAATGCATGAAATCTACTACCTCTCAAGGCATGCTAAAACTGAGCCAGGAAAGAAATGCTCATACTTAAAAAGATATTCAGAAGAAAGTTAGGGACTCGCTTTGGACAAGAAAGCCCATGACCAACTTCTTATACATCATCTGGCTGTTTACCTTTTGTTGGGACAATTATCTGGATGCAGCCCCCCAGCATGTGACACTGCAGACCATGTTGTTAAACCAACATAAGGCAAGGAGGCAGCTTCGGTGTGAGTGAGACGCCTCGGTTTCCTTGATATCTGCATAAAAGTAAGAGAGCAGGCAGAAACTTGCAAGATACCCCATGCTTAGCAGCTGAAATTTGATGACTTCAAACTTCAGTACAACTTTCAATGCATGGAGATATTGTCTACGGCTCCCTTGATCACAACATTTTCCTTAAATGCACATCTACCAAAAACAGCAAATGTATATTCCAGTGTTTCTCAACCTTGGCAACTCTAAGATTCCCCATGGCTGGCTGGGGAATTCTGGGAGTTGAAGTCCACACATCTTAGAGTTGCTAAGGTTGAGAAACACTGGTATATACACTTGTCAAAACCATACATGTATCTCTTATGCACAAGTTGGAAGCATCCATGCTGAGACTATCTGACAATTTAAGTCACATTGCACTATGTACTTTCTCCTACAGATATGCAAGGAAAATGTTGTATATGGAAAGACACATGAGGACAATCAATTTTACAAAATGGATAACCAATCTTTAGATAGGAGGTCACCTATGGCAAGTAAGATTTGGCAGTAAGCGATGGGCCTTTTCCCTAATATACCGTATTTTTCCAACTATAAGACGATACTTTTTTCTAAAATCCTTACCCTAAAA